GTTGACGGAACTCAATTCATGTTATCAAGCTATGCAATGAGAGGCAACAAAACATGCTTAACAGCGAAGCACGTGCAAAATTCACGTTTGTAGTAGGCCTCATTTTGTCGCGAGGCATTCGCTACAAAATTTAACCATTTCGGGGGATGCAAGACCTACGAGGGCATAAGCTAATCGCGAGTCAGCCAAGTTAGCCTAATCTAATTACGGTTGTGCAGGCTTAAAAGCGAGGGGGCTTAGTGCTGACTAGCCTTCACTATCTACATCATTTATCTGTACGCAGCTCGGGGTAAAAAGGTAACCTTCACTTCTCTTTTTATCCAATTAACCTACACTAGTCACCAGTTCTACAAATGTCAAGTCACAAGAAACATTTCGATGGCCATTTGAGAAGTTTTAGTAATATATTTGCAATAATTTTAATTATCTATAGCATAATCGACAATGTGCACATTACACACTGATATAAAACAAATCATAATGCCTTTAAAGATAATTTTTTCTTGCCTGACCTGGCTTCAACTTATACCTGCATCTTCTCGGTCTTGGTAATTTCTGCTTTGAATATTCCCCTCAATTTTATTAACAGGCTCCATTAACCAGCCTAAAACGAAGGTTAATATTTTGAAAATGATAAATGACACTGTCATATTATATTGGTGAAATACTTGATCTATCCAGATCCTGCATACAGAATGATGGGCTTGGAATACGTGGCCAGAAAATTGGGAGGAAGACAAAACAATACATTTAGAAATATAAAGGAAAGCTGGTTACCTTGGGCTAAAATTATTTAGTTCACTTCTATTTTGTCTGAAAGTGTGTGGTGAAAAGACTCAACAGTTGATCTCACCAGAATACGACAGCAACTTTCCCTTAGCCATATTTCTATTGGATCTTATGGAACATTCCACTTGAAACTATGCCAAAAAAATTAGCTTTTGATTCTGGGAAAGTATTCTAAGATGTAATATGTAGTATTATATACATCAAAGCAGGGTAGCATTCTTACAGCCAATTTAAGATAATTATTGGCTTAACCCTACTTAGCGAATATATACCCCAAGCGATTTTGGTAAAGGAAAGTGCCAGGATGTTGTAGAAGATTTTAATGTGGAATCATTGAATGCCAAATCTCAATTTCAAGGAGCTATTCAAGCTCTAGAACTTATTATAGAATAAATATCTGATATTATTGAGAAAATAGGCCCAAGCATGAGTTCAGTCTTAATACTAATTAAATTATCCATGAGTAGCATATACTTCACCTCTTATAGGCGAAAATATTTGCAGTTGGATCTTGTTCAACTCTTAGTTTAGCCAGTAGTTACATGCTAAAAATGAAGGAACTTTTCATAGAAAAGGTAAGATTGACAGCAAAACAGTTGGCAAAATAAATTGATGATTATTTTACCA